AAGCCGATACGCCGCTCGTATCGAATATTCGGTACGTCATGGCCCTCAATTGTTGGATCACGTAAATTAGGATAAGCCTCTGCGGCCATCCGAGCATTATTTATGTTTAAGTTGACAAACAACCGATTCACCGATTCGTTGATCATGTCGTCAATGCGATCATAATTAACGCCTTGCTGGTTGCGTCTGTTATTACGGGGACGGGTTCCGGTACTCCTCGCAGTATGTGTTGTATTTTCCTGTGGAGAGTTCAACTCCAACAGATTCATGGGTGCAGTTCCGGGGTTTCCCAAATGGGCGTTCGTGACATTTTCTCCACGCCGCACAGGAATATCTGTTTGGTGTACTTCCTCATACAATCTACGCGAACTTCGCNGACGGCAAAAAGGACAGTCAGGTGTGTCGGTTACCCAACGCTCGATACACGGCTTGTGAAAGACATGATTGCAACAAGTAACCCAGCAATCATTTCCATTGGGCATTTCGTGTAAGCAAATTGCGCAAGAGCAGGCGGAAGCTTCCGCTGTCATACCCGCCAAGTTTTCGGTACTTCGTACCATAATCGCCATATTCAAAAGTTTGAATAGATTGCCAAACTGACTCAACTTAGGGGAAAAAATATAAAAATATAATTGAACCAAAAATTGTGCGAAAACTTAATATGGTCCTTTGTACACTCAAAATCAATTGAAAACTTATTTACTGAATGTTATTCCTTTTGCACGGTAATGCGTCTGGGGTCGTTTAAAATCAAAAGACAATATTTTGCTCACCCTAACTTGACCTCCCATTGAGATCACGTCTTCTCAACTAAATTCTCCGCCTTGTGTAACTAGCAACCGGTCAAAATTGGCAGTCTTCCCACTAATGGGTAGCCAATTATGGTATTCCAAGGTAGCAGTATCTCAACNCACTCAAAATCAATTGAAAACTTATTTACTGAATGTTATTCCTTTTGTACGGTAATGCGTCTGGGGTCGTTTAAAATCAAAAGACAATATTTTGCCCACCCTAACTTGACTTCCCCTTGAGATCACTTCTTCTCAACTAAATTCTCCGCCTTGTGTAACTAGCAACCGGTCAAAATAGGCAGTCTCCCCCCACTAATGGGTAGCCAATTATGGTATTCCAAGGTAGCAGTATCTCAACAACCATCGAATTTTAAAAACACATTTTAAAAGTGGGCATCTTGATCACCTGGGGTTGAGCATTTAGGACTGCAATGCCTAAATCTCAAATTCCAATCCGGGCCAAATGCAACTTCGATAAGCAAATAAAATAAATTGGCCTTACGGTTGATCCCCAAGGTTGAAAAACCTTAGCAACAATTCCAGGTAAGGACTATTTTAGTTGCCAATAAATATATATGGACGATTGGAGATTACGACAGAAAACTAATTAACGAAAAGAGTCCCGATTCAAACGGCAGAAGGTTTCCGGGCTGATATGCCTGAAATCCGAATTTCCTATAAGCAGGAAACTCCATCTGTCAATGCCGAAACTTTGTCCAATTACCAATCCTGCATATAATTAAATAAATATCTAAAAAGCAAAACGATATAGATTGTTCACCATTGAAAAGAAGCGCTATAACACAATAATTTCCTAAAACCTTGACCTACACGTTCGCGAAGCGAACTTGGTAAGCCTTATTTCACCATAGGAATAAACCTCAGCAAGTTAAGCATCATAATTTGGGACCGACCTTGCGAGATTATTCGTAGTAGGATTAACCTATTAAGTTTCACTAGCTTCGGCCAGGGCCCCACGCTGGGCGCCAGTTATGTAATGAGCTATTTTGGGTAGCCAAAAAAAAAGCCGTGTCTTAGCGTTCTAGGAAGGACTATATCGGGGCGGGACCCTTCAATAAACTAGCTAGCAGCCGGCTGGGGGAGTTCTTGACATAGCTTCTTCCAGTACCCATTACAGATGGATACGCTGTTTGGTCACTCAATTTCGATCGTGCCAAAAATTCTACCACCGCACCCATTAAAGAAATCAGCCGGAATGAAATCCACCGGCCGTTCAATCCCAGTGTCAATTTGATTAAAAATTGAGCCCACGACCTGGTTTTCAAGGGCTCGAAAATAACTCCTGGTCACTGGCCTGTTTGAATCTAAAATCCCTAAACCACGTACAATCCTTATTTCACTCTCTTGCTCCTCAGACATTCAAACGCTCTCACTACCGAATTTGTCTTCAAGCCGACTCGCAGACAAACTTATAAATTACAAANTACAATCCTTATTTCACTCTCTTGCTCCTCAGACATTCAAACGCTCTCACTACCGAATTT